AGTGGAGTTGATAAACTGCTCATACGCATAGTACTATATTGGACTCTCACAGGGAGGTGCAGTCGGATCCCGCCGGCGCAGCCTCTACGGACTGCGAACTTGTCGGCTATGGGCGTTTGAGGCTCCATACTGCAAGGCCCGTGTAGCAACCTGATACCAGGTAGTCTGAATGACCTGTCAGTCTGATCCACAAAGAGCTACGCCTCCAGGTACCTTCTACATCAAGTTCAGCCTGTTGCCCATGATGCTGCCAGCTGTTGCGGAAGCCTCAGTGCAAGAGGATGCATGAGCTCAGAAGCCATGCAACTCAAGCACGACAGTACCTTCCGCAATCTACTCTACGAATGCTTGTATATGGCAGATCAAAGCATCATCCTCAGGCTGGCAAAGTGGATCGCGCAGATCCTGAAGACGTCGAAGTCTGGAGCGGCCTGGATGGACTCGGCTATGTCTTGAAGCTACTACTCTAGAGCTGGCGAGAAGCAGTGAGCTCAGGAAGATACACGGGTGTATATTCCGAGTTGACAAGCGCCTTGGATGCACAAATCTCGGTTCTTCCCAGTTTTGCAGTTGCTGTGCGGCATTCCGTGGTCCTTCGAGGGAGGCTGTCAAATTGTGGCGACGGATCAACGCCAGGCCCCTTTGCCCTCGCTGCCTCCACCTCGTGCTTCTGCGACGCCTGCCCACATGATGCCGGAGCCACCTTCCGTTACCTGATGCCCCGGGCCCAGTTTTGGAGCAGGCCTGCGCAGGCATGCGTCACGCAATTTCGTGCCGGTGGGATCTTCTGCACCTCGCGGTTCTCCCAATCGACAGTCCCCGCCCGGGTTCAAGCCGAGGTCTCCAGGGGTCGGCTTGTTCATCGCACCTTGGCAGACGCATGGGGGCTTACCTTTTTGGGACTCCTATATTTTTATTCTGAAAGCCTTATGCTCCGGGTACCCCAGGACAGCCCCAGAGTTAAGTGGATTCCCCATGTGAGGGTGCTGCTCTTTTGGGTTTAGGGAGCTCAGCGATGTTCAGGGCTTATAGATCCTGCTCCCTTGACCCCGCATGCCCTTCGCCGAGAAAACCGACTTGGAGGTTCAGTTTACTTATTTTCAGGGGCTGCGCCCATGGGCGGGCAGCGCAGGCAGAAGCTCGAGGAGAGTTCTTTTGCAAACTGGGAATGGGGCGCGCGCGCGCGCGGTCCCGGAGCCCCAATCGCACATCAGGAGCATCAGCGGCCCCAGTCCGGGATGCCGGGCGCGCATCATCGGCCTTGGATGACACGGCGGCCCCCACGTCCCTCTGTCGCCAAACCCGTGCGTTCCGACTGTGAAAGCAGGGGCGGGGGTGAGGGGGGGGCGGTGGGGGGGGGGGGGGGGGGGGGGGTTGGGCAGTGGGGGGGGGAGCGGTGCAGCGCCCTCAAAACACTGGCGCCCTTCTTTAATGCATGACTTCTGAAACACTGTATGATGGGATGAGAGGGGGGTGCAGATGAGGCGGCATGAGGGTGGTGACGCTGCCATAAACGGTGGGAGTAAGGCGATGACCGGATGACCGAGAATGGGTCTTCACTGACGCCTCCCCCGCTCCAGCGGGGGTCGGCGCATAACCCCAGTTACAAATGTACTTCTGAGCCCATACGTCCTCTAAGTAGGTGATAAGTAGACTTGTAGAGGTTATGAGTACGCATGAACCTCCAAGTACTTCCCATCTCCCCCCCACCTGTTGCTTCGACAAGGACACGTCGGATGACTTCCCGGCCAAAGACCAGGTGCCACTGACGGTTCTGGGTTGTTGATCCAGGTGCTCAAGAGGTTTGGGGATCAAAGGGATCAAGGCCCTTTGTTTCTTTTTTGCCAACTTGTTGCCAGCTTGAACTCTACGAGCCCTCGGCAGAACCGTCCGCTTAGTCTGCGTCTGCTTCAGGTTCTGGGACAAGAGGTGCCGGGCCAAGTCAGTGTGCAAGTGAAGGTTCACTTGCCGAACGCGCAGCATGGAGAATCGCACCCCAAAAGCCTGAAGCCTAGGATCCTAGAACCTCAGACCTCGACTTTGAATCCCAAAGCAGAAGCCCTAAGCCCATAGACCTTGTCCAACATCCTGACCAGGCGATGAGCACGTTTTGCATGGCCTCAGCAGCTTTAGGCTGCTAGGCAGAGACACACAGAGAGCAGGATTGAATCCATTGAGTCGCTGGAGGTTTGGTACGAGCTCTGTTTAGAGTTCTCTCTGTTCTTTTAGTCTTTTATTCGTTGGGTTCTTGAATATACCAGCTCTCATGCGGCCACCACGTACCACTCACAGTAGCTTCGCCTTGACAACGGAGCGGTATCCGTGTCTCCTTTGCCGCTATCAGAATTGCTGTGCTGAGGCTGTCTGGTGCAAAACAATGAGACCTGCAGACCTTTTGCAGAGAAGCTTGTGGTTGAGGTGAGGAGGGTTCGGTGCGTGGTACCGCAATGTACTGCACCTGCCGGCTTCGCTGTCAAGTCGTCCTGTGCCCCATGGCAACGTCAGGTGAAGCCAGATGGTACTGCGGACATGAGCTCACCGTTCGCATCCATGGCTCTCATCGGCATGATTGCGACTCTCAGCAGACACAGAGAACTTGCACTGTGTCCGTGGCATGTGTAGAGCATCGAATTAACAACATACTGCTCTCTGTCACTCACTCTCTCTCTCTCTCTCTCTCACTCGAATGGAGCTCAGTGTTTTTGATAGAGGAGAACTGAAACTGCGCACCATGGATGCCAGGGCCCAAAGGAATCAGAAGAAACGCGCCATGAAGGGGCAGGCTGACAAGCTGAAACCCAACGTCAGCTGCCAACAAAGCGCATCCTCCACCTGAGAACCCAGCGGAGTTGGGCCAGGAAGTAGTGGTTCCACAAGACAGGGGGCAGGGACCTTCTTCATTGCACGACGAATGTTTCAAGATTGCGGCAACCGTCGCATTGTTGAGCTGGTACGTTTCCATTCCCTGGGCCCCGCGGGTGTCTTCGTTCTGGTGGGTGCTCCAGGGCCCTCTGCTGCATAGGTAGTGCATGTACAGCACACACATATGGCACCATGTTTCCAGCATCTGAGGTCGTCCACCGGCATGTGTGATTCCATGGAGTTTCCAGTGGCTTCGGCAGGAAAGCAGACAAGGTATTCACAGCACCCGCCAGTTGAGTTACTGAGGACAATGGCCCTCCGAAGATCACCTGCGGCGGCGACGACAAGCCACCCTGCCAGACCCTGAGCGACTCACGTTTTTTCGAGGCGAACACAATATGTAAGACCCTCAACGTAGCCCAAGCCCTGAACCCACGGCTCTAACGAGGAATCTCGCCAGTGAAAGCACGTGCGGATGTTTGCGAAAAAACGCAGGCCACGACTGGCTCCCATACTGCCCATCGACGGACACTTCGACGGGCGTTGCACAATGCGCAGGCGGTTGGGTCCGATTTCGTTTGTTGTGTTTTTTTTCTGGGGTTCAGTATTTGGGGTGTAGGGCCGTAGGGGGTTTAGGGTGTGCACGCGTCCCTGTGCACGAGTCCCCGTGAGCGAAAGTAGCGCTTCACCGGATGTCAGAGCACTCTGCTGCACACCTGCTGCAGGCCAGTGTGGACCGGAAGAGTGCCTCGGCTTGTGATTGTCTGGGCTGTCGGCACGAAGCGCTGAACGGAATCCGAGGGTGCTGTGCTTCGAGGGTTCCCAGGACGTCTTCGGCAATCCGATGATGGAGCCTTGGGGTTCGGCAGTTTTTGGGGGCAAGGGGTTCAGGGTCTTGAGGCGATGAGACTGCCTGTCTCTGGCTTCTCGTTTTTTTGGATTTGTTGCTTCAGGTTGACAGGATGGTTCTGGGGAAGAGCGGGTCTTCGCCCGTGCTGCGTTCTGGGGGGGGGGCCCTGACAAGCCCTTTAGGCATCTTAGGACAGGTTCTTTGTCTCCAAACAGCAGCAGATCGCCTCCCAAAACTTCAAGTGCAGAGAATCAGGACCTCTAAACTTCAAGCCCCACACCCTGAGCATCTCACCTTTCCGAAACGTTGAAGCCACAACGCCGAACACTCTCCTCACACCCTGACTGAAACTCTAAACCCGAAACCCTAATACCCCGAACTTTTAAGCCCTAAATTGGCCTAAACCCTAAACCTATAAACCCTAAAGCCCTAAACCCTAAACCCTAAACAGCCCTACAGTTCCTAAAGCTTGCGCATCTCAGGGACAATTTATGCGGAAATGCCACGACAACAGCAATGGCCAGGGTTGCCCTAGCAAGGAGCCGAGGGCTTTGCCTCGAAGCCTTCACATCTGGGGGGGGGTTTAGGGTTTAGGGTTTAGGGTTTCGGGTTTCTCGTTTTGGGAGTCCCTCTTCTTTGGAGTCTACTGCTTCGGAGTGTAGAGTCTCGGGAATTGGTTTAGGCTTGATAAGTTTACGGTTTTGGGGCTTGGGCTTCTTGGTTCCGGGGGTGTAGTGCCGACTGGACAGGCCGCCCTGGTTTGAGATGCAGGGTGGCTACTCAGCAGCGCATTGACTCTGTAAAGTCTGAGCGCCCGAGTGCGGGGTCAAGCCAGGACGGCGGCTCTGGTGGTCAGTGTGACGAGGTGGGCCAGTGCGTGTTTGCTGAAGCAGACAAGAGGTAGCAGGCGGAGGGCTGGACGGGAGCAGGTGCAGTAGCCACTTGTAGCCTGAGCGCGCTCACACCCGCAGGCCAAAGCGGAGGCTTGCATTCCGTCGGAGTTGTGGGACCTCAGCCCGGATGTGGGAGCCGAGCCTTGGCAACTCTGCATTCCGAGTTCAGACTCCCAAATCAGTTCCCCAGGCGTCCCCGTAACTGCCGCAACTCAGGACTTCTGGACGGAAGATATGTGCCAGAAGGCTCTAGGCAGGGGGGCATTGTGCTGAACAGCTTCAGCTTCTTGCGTGCCAAGGCACTACCGTATGACAGGGCCATCTCGGATTCGATTCGGCTCTCTAGGTCCAGCAAACAATGAAGTAGCCAAGGAGCCCTGAAGGGCTCGTGAGCCATGGCTATGGGGTCTGAGGACCTGGAGTCCAAAGCCGGGAACTATGGTTCAGTAGACGAGACGAGCGCGCCGCAACGGGACACTGCTGAAAAGACCCCCGTGTCCATCTTGCTGCAAGCAGTCGTCTACGCTCTGGCCATTCTCCTGCTGGGCCTCATCTTCGTGATTCCCTCCCCGCTGATTGATCCCAAAGGAGAGGGACACCACGCAGCGTACATTAAGCAGGGCCGGCAGATGGTGATGAGAAATATCATTTATGGAACGTTGTCAGCCGGCTGCTTAGCGTATGTGATGCACCTTCTGCGGCAGCCCCTGATACTGGGCTACTTGCTGGGTGGTGTGCTTGTTGGCCCTGTTGGATTGCGATTGGTGATTGACGAGCAAGAAATTGCGACCATGAGTGAGCTCGGCTTGATCTTTCTGCTCTTCATGATCGGCTTGGAGCTGAACGTGAAGGAACTCGCGCGTCTCGGAAGCAAGATCTTCTTCTCGGGCCTGATGCAGTTCCCGATCTGCGTGGTCCTGCATTTGCTGGCATTTAGTGCGCTGGCACATCTCGGCTTTCCCATCAGTCAGTCTCGCCTTCAGATGCTCTACTTCGCCGTCTGCTGCGGTATGTCCTCCACCATGATCGTCGTAAAGAAGCTCCAAGATGCAAATGAGACCAAGATGGAAGCTGGACAGATTTCCATCGGAATCCTCATCTTCCAAGACATGTGGGCAATCGTGGTCCTAGCACTGCAGCCGAATATCAATCAACCCCGACTTATGGGCATTGCCCGAACCTTCGCAGTCATGCTTGCGCTGGTCTGCGTGACCTTTCTCTATGCCAAGTACGTGCTGCATCCACTCATGAGAGGCGTGGCAGGATCGTCTGAGATGAATATGATCCTCTTTGTGTGCCTGGAGCTCAGACTTGGGGGGGGGGGGGGGGGGCGGAGAGTCTTCGGTTCATAGAAGTCCATGTCTGTCTCGACTTGCCGGGCAAAGCACGGGCTGCAGCGATGCTTCACAGGCTGGTGCTTCTTCGTCTGCGCTGCCGCCATGCTGCCCTTCGTCAATGTCTCCATCGAGCTGGCAGCCCTGGTAGCAGGGGCTTCCCTGGCAACTTTCCCTGGCACGGAGACAATCAACAAGAGGATCCGTTACATCCGCGACTTCTTTGTGACCTTGTACTTCGTTTCCCTGGGCATGGAGATCCCGTACCCCACGAAGCATGTCTTCTGCTGTGCCTGCGCCATCTCTCTGGTGGCTCTGCTGAATGGAAACCGCGCTGCTTTCACCAAAACGCTCTGCTTACTGTAATGAAAAATAAAAGCATAGTGTAAGCAAAGCTTTTCGATGCAAGCAGAGTTGTTGACATTCAGCAGAGCCACGGTTTAGGTGGTCATGTCGGCGCGCTGGGTCGGTGTCTTTTGCACCATCTACGGCTGTGGAGGAGATCCCAGGTCTGCCACCCGCTCGACCATCAACCTCTCGCAGATCAGCGAGTTTGCCTTGGTCATTACTGCCATTGGGTGCAAGCAGGAGCACGTGCCCAAGGAGACCCTGATGCTTTTCCGGGCTCAGAAACGTTTTGCGTTCTACTTGCAGGCTTGCCGGTGTTCATCGGGACTTCTGGAGCTTGAAGCTTGTTGAACCTGTTTCGGGGCAAGCTCTGCTCCAGACGTAAGGACGATCCTGTCCTGGACTTTCGTCCTCCTGGCGGTCCTCTCCTCACCGCTGATGGACCATGGTTCCTCCATGGGCGAGCTCATCTATGCAAAGGCCTTGTCATGCTCAAGAACATGAGCAAGTCGGGAGGGGGGTTGTGAGTCTTTCGGCCGTGGCATGATGGTTCTTTTGGCAGTTCTGTGATTCTAAGTGCTGTTGTCGCACGGAGGCCTTCCGCTTGGATCAGCGGCTGTCACTCGGAGACAGCAGACGCCCCCCAAACCTGAGAATGCTTGCCGTTTGCAGAGACGAAGAAGCTGCCCACTTGGTAGTCCTCATAGGGAAGTGTCGGGATTTGAGTTGAGGGGCTTCACGGGCATGTGGATGTAGAGAAGCCTTACAAATCGAACCACGCACTTCTACTAAGCAAGCAAGCATTGTACGATATTGTACGAGTCCGCCTGCGTGCAGGGGCAACGAAGGCCTCCCCACCATAATGGCAGTACGCACCCACCCTCACAAGCCCCTTAGTACTAAACCTTAAACCCTGAACCCTAAACCCTACACCCTACACCCTACACCCTAAACCCTAAACCCTAAACCCTAAACCATGGAGAGAGCCCCCAGGCTCAGCGATCAGGAAGGCCGCAAGCCGGAGGAGAGCATCTGAGCCGGAGCCTTCGTGTGGGAGCTTACGATGCTTCCGATAAGCAATTCTTTTGGTGGGGCTTCTTCAAGCTAGGGGTCTGTTGATAGAGGGGCACCTTTTTGAGGGGATTCTGCTATATCTTGGGGTATGGGCGGCACAAAGTCACTAACGTTTGGAAACTGTGTGCGGTGTAGCAAGCGCAAAATGCGGTAAGCTTTCCGACTGCCTGGCACGCCGTTGGGAGCAAAAAAGCGGGTGCTCGTGATCAGGTCATTTTCGGATTTTCGGGGACGGCACGAAGCTGCTCCACTAGCAGCAGCTGGGATCACATGAAGTGAAGCTAGCGTGCCCACATGCCTCGGAAAGCTGACCCTTGCGAATCTGTGAAAGCACACGACACCGCGCCACCCCTAGGTAAATCTGTCATGATTTGGCCCCTAAGCTGGCTTCGACTGAAGGAGGATCAGAGGAGTTGAGGGTGCAGGTCAGTGTAGGTTCGCGGCTTGTGGATAAGTAATGCTACACTGCCGTTCTCGAATGCGAAGCTTTGCTTGGCTCTCTTGGCAGATCTGATGAACTGCTGGAGCCAAGAGCAATGCTGCCACAGGGCACAAGGCAGGGCTTCAGGCTTCAAGGTTTCAAAGGCTAGCTGCTTGATGATTTTGTTTTTCTTGTGTGCAGCCTCCGTCCGCATGGGCATAGGTTGGGATGTTCCCCTTATACACCCCATTATTGACTGTTAGAATAAGGGGGAGCATCCCAAGGCATAGGTACCAAAACATTAAGCATCCAGAAAAACCTTGAGAACATCAGCTAAGAATTTGAGAAGCATTAAAAATGATTTGCCCGGGCTCCTCCGGTCCCCTGGTCTTCTGGTCCTCTGCTGGGTTCTTCTGGTCCAGCGATCCGGCTTTGAATATCATAGTCTTCCTGTGTTACGAGTCAATCTCACACTATGTGTTTTGGTACAGTGCCCTACTTCATCTTCACTCCTAATGCCCCCCCCCCCCCCACCACGGCTTGTTGTGGGACCAAGATCTAGGCCGTGCGATGTTTGCTGCACAATTCCAAACTCCATCATGCGAGCATTGCGTTTGCAAATGGGTGGGGCTTGTTTTAGGATTTAGTTCTCAGCCGTGCAATCCTAGCTTCGAAAGCATATGAATCCTTTTCCAAGCGCCATCATGCCAGCATGGTGTTTGCACTGGGGGGGGGGGGTGTGCCTGCGCCCCCCCCAACCCCCCGCTAATTTAGCTTACGGCGTGGTTAGCGACCCTGCAGGTTTTGTGTGTTTTCGGGTTTTCCGGTCTGTTTCTGCTGCTTTGGGGGAGGGGCGGGGTGGTAGCGTACAGACCAGACTCATGCAAGCCCAAAACCCCACCATCGACCCTGAACCCTGAAGCGAAAACCTCATCCCAAAAAGCTCATCGGCTCAAGGTTTAGGGTTAAGCCTTAAGCCGTTATGCCCATATACCCTAAACCATACAACACACACTGCAAGCCCAAAGCTCTCCTGTATGCAGCCTCCACTGTCCTGCAAGCCCATGGTGGTGTTTGCAAATGGGGGTCCCAACCCCCCCCCCCCCCCCAACCCAACCCCAACCGCCCCCCCAACCAAACCCATCCCAAACCCCAACCCCCCAACCCCCCACCCCCCAACCCCCAACAACCCAACCCCCAACCCCCGCCCCCACCCCCCCCCCCCAACCCTCCCCCCCACTCCTCCCCACCCACCCCCCCCACCAGATAGAAATGCTGGAACTTACAGCAGAGAAGTTTAGAGAATTTATGGAGCCTGGAACACACGCTTGCGAGCGGCCAGAAATGCGGCGGGTTTTCAGCATTTGAAGCCAGAAATGCTGCATTTCATGGCATATTTGACTCTGTCAAAGAATTAATGTGTCCTGGGGCAGATTTGTTGATCTCTTTGATGTTTCACCCCTCTGCCTCTGCCCATCCTGAACCGGCGCGCAAGCAGCGAGAGGCGCTTCCCCGAAGCCTTGCCCCAGGCTTCGAGGGGGCCATTGGGATCTGCATGGACATCTTGCCCGATGCCAAGAACCCCTGCCACGAGGCTTGGCAAAGGGCTCGAGACCAGCGGCTGTGACACTTCGATGGGAATCTCGGGTTCAGCAGGGTGTGGCGAGAATACGAATGAAGCTCCAGCAGCAGGGCTTGCCTTCCGTTCGTGGGACCCTGTGACACAGAACCGTTTCCCATCGGAGACCATGCCTGTCAAAAGGGTTCTGAGCTTTTTGCGCCTCGGTCAGGACGGCCAGTGTGACGAGGCGGGCCCGCGCATGTTTCCTGGAACATGGGCAGCTGCAGTAGTCACTTGTAGGCTGAGCGTGGCTCTCCAACTCTTCGCACCCCCAGGCCAGAGCGGATGCTTGCATTCCGACGGAGTTGTCGGGCGTCGGCCCGGATATGCCACAGGAGCCCCTGCACCAACTCTCCACTCCGAGTTCATACTCCCAGGTCAATCCCCCGGCTGCTCCCCGTCGTAGCTCTCACCAGGACTTCTGGACGTTGGATATGTGCCAGAAGGCGCTAGGCAGGGGGCGTTGTGCAGATCAGCAGAATTTTCGCCGGGCATGTGAAGTGAAGCTAACATCTAGACGTGCCCACATGCCTCGGAAAGCTGACCTTGCGCATGAAAGCGACACAGCGTCACCCCTAGGCCCTAGGCAGATCTGACATGATTTTGCCCCTAAGCTGAACTCGACTGAAGGTTCGCGGCGTGTGATTGAGTAATGCTACACCTGATGCGAAGCTTTGCTTGGCTCTCTTGGCAGATGTGCTGGAATGCTGGAATCAAGAGCAGTGCTGCTACAGGGCGGAAGGCAGGGCTTCAGGCTTCAAGGCTTCCAAGGGTAGTTGCTTGACTCTTGTTTTTCTTATATGCTTCTTGTTCTTGTGTGGAGCCTCTGCACATGTCTGCCCATCCTGAACCGGCATGCAGCAGTGAAAGGCATGCTTGGGCCGGACGGGGCCATTGCGATCTGCATGGACGTCTTGCCTTCCGATGCCACGATTCCCTGCAGCGAGGCTTGGCAAAGGGTTCGAGACACTTCGATGGGAATCTCGATGAAGGATTCAGCAGGGTGTGGCGAGAATACGAATGAAGCTCCAGCAGCAGGGCTTGTCTTTCGTTCGTGGGACCCTGTGACACAGAAACTTGTTGGCGAGAGCCAGGTCCCGTACCTTCGGGACCCAAAAAGGACATAAGCATAGGTTTTTTATAGGGATATCCCTGCCTTATTCGGCTTCATTATAAGGGGTTTTATACGGCCCTAGTACCATGCTTGTAACTTCGGAGTTCAAAATGGTTCTGAGCTTTTCCCCGTCTGGGGGTTGCCAGGGCGGCGAGGATGGCCAGGGTCAGTGTGACCAGGCCCGTGCATGTTTTCTGCAAGGAGCAACTGCATGGCACCTGCGTTCAGTTGAATTCAGACAATCTACACACTTTCAAGAAAGATGATAGTCGAACATGTTGTCCAAGATGTGCGCCAGACCAAAATGGAGTCCTGCGTTCCAGCGGAGTTCGCTAACCTCAGCCCGGATGTGGGACTTGTCCCTCGGCAGCAACATTGCACCCTCTCAAGATCCGGTTTTCATAAACGCATCTTCATCAACTCAACGCATCTGTCACGGTATTCAAGCACTCGCTTGTGGCGAAAGCACTCCGTTCTCGAGGGGTCTCAACGTGACCGGGGAATCCTGCTGTGTCTCTATGGCTTCAAGTATCTCCTCCTGCCTGCTCACTTCTATGTTCCCCAGGATTTCTGGACCATGGAGATCTGCGAAAAGGCTCTAGGCCGGGCCCCTCAGACTGATTACAAGGGAGGCCAACGATTTAGAATCCATATTGGGGGTCCCCATTCTTTCGTAAACCCACCTTACAGAAGCCTTGAAGCGGAACAGAAGCGCCGGCCACTTCGGCAGAGGCGCGTTCTTACTGATGGCAGGTCTGCTGGAGTGCTTCAAACGCGAGCACTGCTGCCACGAGGCAGAAGGCGCGGTACCGTGCTCAGCTCCTGAAGACCATGTGGGGGTTCCGAAATTAGGGACAACTACCTTATCAGGGTCCTTATGACCCTACTCTTTGGGGCCTAGATGCGGGGTCCCCTGTTTCCGAGAGAAGACCGCGCCTCCGATTTCGGGAGGCTTTGGGGCGGCCATCGAGCTCTGTTTGCAGCAGCTGCCTGCTGGGACCGAGAACCCGTGCAAGCAGGCTAGGGTTTAGGGTTTAGGGTTTAGGGTTTAGGGTTTAGGGTTTAGGGTTTAGGGTTTAGGGTTTAGGGTTTAGGGTTTAGGGTTTAGGGTTTAGGGTTTAGGGTTTAGGACCCTCTAAACCCTGTACTAGACACCGTCTGAACCCTGCTCCATGAAGTCCCCAAACCCTAAACCCTCAACCCTCAAGCCTGAACCCTAAACCCTAAACCCTAAACCCTCAAGCCTGAACCCTAAACCCTAAACCCTCAACTCTAAACCCTAAACCCTAAACGCTAAAACCCGAAACCCGAAACCCTAAACCCTAAACCCTAACCCTAAACCCTAAACCGTCGAACACACTAGACGGGGGAGCTCTGACGGTGGCAAAGCTCTCTCGGGTTCAGATTCAGTGTTCAGTCAGATGGTGGTGATTATGTATACATGTATATATGTATATCTGTATATATGTATAAGTATATATATATATATGTACATACATACATACATACATACATACATACATACATATATGCATATATCATGTCTCGTAAGTTATACATCTTATGCCATATACCATCTATCGGATATCTGCATCTTGGGGCCTTGCGGCTGAGGACTGCATGTGCCCACCGGAAATCCTCGGCAATGGCATGTGCGATGACGACTGCAACACCGAAGGGTGTCCAGGCTGCAATGCTGGTAGGAGAGAGAGAGATCTCCATGTCTGAGATCCGCATATGTGTATCGTATATGATGTGTGTAATAAAGTAAATGAACAAAAAGACAAATAGATAGATAAGTACATAAATAGATAAATATGCATATACATATATGTATATGTATGTATATATATACATGTATATATGTATGTATGCATATATGTAAATATGTATATATGTATATATGTATATATGTATATATGTATATATGTATATATGTATATATGTATATATGTATATATGTATATATGTATATATGTATATATGTATATATGTATATATGTACATATATACATACAAACATATGTATATGTGTATATATGTATATATGTATATATGTATATATGTATATATGTATATATGTATATATGTATATATGTATATATGTATATATGTATATATGTATATATGTATATATGTATATATGTATATATGTATGGTAACAGGGCCTCCTGTGATCCACTAGGCCTTCGTTCAAATTTATCATGTTAGCTCGTTTTGAATTTATTTCTAGCATACCAACCCTTCCAGCCGCTCTATATATTTTAGCTCGTTTTGAATATATTCCTAGCATACCAACCCTTCCAGACGCTCTATATATTCAAGACATCTTAGATGTTTCAGATGTTCCAGACATTCTCAACTTTTCAGACATTCCAGACGTGTCAAACATTCCAGACTTTCCAGACATTCCAGAATTTCCAAACTTTCCAGACATTCCAAACGTTTCCGATATTCCGGACGTTTCCAACATTCCAGACATGCCAAGATTTCCAAACTTTTAAGATATCCTAAACATTTCAAACTTTTCAGATATTTCAGACATTCCACACTTTTCAGACTTTTCAGACTTTTCAGACTTTTCAGACATTTCAGACTTTTCAGACATTTCAGACTTTTCAGACTTTTCAGACTTTTCAGACTTTTCAGACTTTTCAGACTTTTCAGACTTTTCAGACTTTTCAGACATTCCATGCATTCCAAAATTTCTAAACTCTTCAGACATTCCAAGCTTCTCAGACATTCCAAACGTTTTCAAGATTCCATACTTTCCAGGAATCCTAAAAGACTCAAACTTTTCAAACATTCCAGACATTTCAGACTTCTCAGATATTTCAAACATTCCAGACTTTTCAGACTTTTCAGACATTTCAGACTTTTCAGACTTTTCAGACTTTTCAGACTTTTCAGACTTTTCAGACTTTTCAGACTTTTCAGACTTTTCAGACTTTTCAGACTTTTCAGATATTCCAGAAATTCCAAGCTTTTCAAACATTCCAGTCATCCCAGACTTTTCAGACATTTCAGATATTTCAGACATTTCAGACTTTTCAGATGTTTCAGACATTCCAAACATTTCAGACTTTTCAGATATTTCAGACATTTCCAGACATTTCATTTTTTTGTCAGATATCTGTTTGATTCTGGAATATCTGAAAAGCCTGAAAAGTCTGAAAAGTCTGAAAAGTCTGAAAAGTCTGAAAAGTCTGAAAAGTCTGAAAAGTCTGAAAAGTCTGAAAAGTCTGAAATGTCTGAAAAGTCTGAAAAGTCTGAAAAGTCTGGGCTGCCTGAAAAGTGTGAAGATTTTGAAACGCCTCGGAAGAGTTTAAATAGTCTGTCAGGTCTGCAATATCAGGAACATTAGCATTTCAGTTACTTGTATAAGAAGGCCCTGTTACCACATCGTAGTAATGTTTAATAATACTATATATATATCTATATTATATAGAAAAATATTATATATAATAATAATAATGATAATAATAATATATATATATATATTAATATATATATATATATATATATTATTATTATTATTATCATTATTATTATTATTATTATTATTATTATATATATACATATATTATTTTTCATAATAATAATACTAATATATGTATATATAAATATATTATTATAAATATATTATTATAATTATATTATTATTTTTATTATTATTATATTATTATTATTATGATTATTATTATTATTATTATTATTATTATATATATACATATATTATTTTTCATAATAATAATACTAATATATGTATATATAATATATATTATTATATTATTATAATTATATTATTTATTTTTTATTATTATTATATATATACATATATTATTTTTCATAAAAAAATTAACTATACTATATTTATATATAATATATGATTATTATTATTATTATATACATCTATTTTTATTCATAAGAATAATAACAATACCAATATGTGTATATATATAAAAATAGATTAGTATGTGTATATTATTATTATTATTATTATCATTATATACATATATTATTATTTATAATAATAATATATATTATATATATAATATAATTTAATAATATATATATATATATGTATTATATATATATATATATATATATATAATATAACATGTAAAAATTAGACACAACGTATTTATATAATATATCGAAAAATACATATCATATAAATATTTTGTATAATACAATATATATATATATATATTGAAACCCTAAACCCTAAACCCTGAACCCTAAACCCTAAACCCTAAACCCTAAACCCTAAACCCTAAACCCTAAACCCTAAACCCTAAACCCTAAACCCTATATAATTAATTAATAGAATATATATTTTATAATATATAAACAACATAAATATGTAATAAATATGTACAGATATAATATTTTAATTTCTGCTCAGGTTCCGACCTCAGATGCAGTGGCCGGCTCGTCAGTTTCGTTGCCCTAACCCTAAACCCTAAAACAAACACTGACGCATACACACGGGGGGGGTGTGAAGAACGGCACTCTCACCACGAGTGAAAAAAAAATAAACAGCTGCGAGCTGCTTTGAGGCGGGGCGGTGCCCAAAGCAGAGAGTGTTCCGGCATTGTGCGTCTGGGTCAAACTCATGAAAGCGCACGGCCAGCGATAGTGTCTGAGTCTTCATGAAAGCGCACGGCCCAAGTTTCCAGGGTTTTGATCTGTTGATTACAGCTTTGGTGCTGAGTCCGGCTGTGTCTCGCCATCATGTCGAGCCCTCCTAAGCAGTACATTTCCACGATGAAGAACGTCTACACCTATGTGCAGAAGGAGTGGACTGCTAGTGGAAAGCGGATCTTGGGTGAACGTGGACACGCTGCTATTCATCTGCAGTCTGTTCGTAAAAGCCACCCAGCTCTGCCAATCTTTCTCTACGCGCTGGTTGGTGTCGTAGTAGCCTCGAACGGAGCTTTGCTTCGAATTTGGGGCGGGCTCTCACCGGTCGCCTTGTGGATTCTCAACTGTAATTACAGTCAGACGCGCAAAAGCGGTCTCACATCCATTGCGGAGGTGTTCGCATCTGTAGCAGACCAATGCGTCCGCAAGACTTTTCGCCGACTTCTCCAGAACAAGAGTGTGGATGCCAAGGTGAAGACTACCACAGTACAAGAAGACGGCAGGCACGAAGACACGCTGATGCAAGACCTGGCTGCTCCAGCCGAGGCACAAGATGACAGACATGCGCGACTAAGTCTATGGTCAGTGGCATATCTTGGCGGCACCATTGAGCGCTGCAAGGAGCGCTGCAGTGGTGACTTCAACTTTGTGCAAAACAATCCTAAAGCCTTCAAGGATTTGCCAGGCATTGATGCGTCTGCTACTGCTTCTGCAGCCGAAGCCGCCGTTGCAAGTGGGGAGGGCTTGCGAGGGCGTACCTGGTTTTCTACGCTGTTGCTCTTTGACGAAGCGTATGAGTTTCTAATGGAACTCGGCATCTTGGACAGTCCAAGTTCCGCTGCAAAGAAACAGATGTCTGGAGGCGTTGATGTTTCTGGTCAAACCCCCAATGCTGGGTGGGCAAACAGGCTACTGCAAACGGGCGTGAGCACGTTCGAAACGAAGAGCTGTGGAT